ACCTCCTCTCTCTCTCTCTCTCTCTTCTCTCTCTCTCTCTCTCTCTCTCTCTGGCAAGTAGCCTCAGCCCTCTCTCTTCCCTTTTTTTTTATTTTTTGTTGTCTTTTTTCTCTTTTGCTTTTCCATATTGGATACCACTTGGGCGCATCCAATGACTCACCTGGGTAACTCGGCTCGGGCTCAGCCTTGGCTCGAGCTGAGTTTCCAAACATTGACTCAGTCTATACATCTAATGTAATGCTTCACTAATCTAAAAGCAAAGCAACCATTTATACTGCAAGCATGTCATACCGAAACTTCAAAACAAACTAAAACAAATAATCTCACCCAAATGGTGCACCTCCTTTGTCAGATGAGATGGTACTGCAGCAGATAAAAACAACAATAATATATCAGAAGTACATATACTGTGTGGTTAACTAAAAGAAAATGTAGTCATCAGAAAATATTTTGTAACCAAGAAGAAACGTTTGTAAATATAGAAAAATGGAGAATAAAACGCTAAAGGTACACAAGGCATAGAACGAATCATGTATAGAAATCTAAATACCACACATATTCTTGCAAAGCCTTTATAGAATACCTATATTCATTATAAGACATGCACATATATCAGCCAGTGGCACATTTCTCTCACCTAAGTCACTAATACAAGACATTTGATTCTGCCAAATTGCTTCAGTGTCACCTGGGATATGAAGGTTCCAAGCAGCCATTCAAGCACGATTTCTATGGAGGCTCTAAGGAAAGTCTTAGGTCATAGATCGCCACTTGGGCTCCAATGACCATGACTGAAAATGGCTCTTGTTTGTTGGATGGATGCCAAGGGCATGGAGAAATGTATCCTTGTTGTTAAAATGAACGTCCCAAAAAAAAAGTGCACAAAATGATCTTTTTTAAAAAAGTAAAATCCTTTTTTTTCCAAATCCATTGATGGTGGTGGTCAAGATTATTGACAAAAAAAATATAGATCCAAATTCCATGTCTAAGATGTTGTTTTGAAGGAGACTGCATTTGAATAGGTGCATTGCAAGACACAGCAAAGCTCATTTTTCTTTTAACCAGAGGGTTGTGGGAGTTACGAATAATCTCCCACAGAGACTTGGGATAAAGCACCACAGAGCACACACATGAAAGGAGATGCAATACATGACAACAACCAGAAAAATCAAAGGCTGCCTCAACTTTATTCAATATTAATGAAAATGTTAATGGATTAGAGCAAATGCTTCACTATCTTACACTTATAAGAGGAAGAAAGTTCTAAAGTTGTTCTTCTTGGACTCATGTCCTACCTATATATAGACCTAAGACAACCTACTCTCTCTTCATCAGTTACCTAAAACCCCCTCAATAATTTAGGAAAGCAAATAAAGGAAACAACAGTTTTACTCAGACTTTTAACTCTCCAAGTTTCTCCATAAACAGTGGACTAACCATCCCATTACACTTCACAAGGTCATCCCATAAACTCTCTCCAGAAATAGAAGAGAAACATGAGCCATATCGCACCTCATGACTGTCATCATAACTTCAAATCCGCCTTGTTTACATAATTCTATTTGCTTGTTTGTTTATTTGTTTATTTATTTCACCCATCAGGTGGTGCAAAGCCAAAGAATAAGTCGATTCATCTTCGATTGTATTTGTTATGCCCAATATTTTCATCAAACAAAATGTATTTAAAAGCAGCTCGGAAATGGAATCATAGGAACATGCAGAAAACATCTATTGTCATGTCAGAGGAAAAAGAGTTCAGTAGAAGATATACAGGACTTCCTACAGAGAGATCATGTAGAAGGTTACCCTCTCCACATATATCATCATCAATGTCAAGTTCTTATTCCCTAGAAACCATTCTAAGGAAGTTCACATTGTAGACCAAGAGTGTTTTAAAGAAGTAGTAGAGAATGAGGCTTTTCTAAAAGTAAAACAATGCCTTCGAAATCAAGAAAGAGCTTGGCCATTAGCAGATTCCCTTGCAAAGAAGGACATATTTTAGAAAGGCCATCTTATAGGTAAGAGAGAGCAACAAAAATCAAGGAACAGAGTTTAGCTAAATTTTTCACTTTGCTTGGTTGGATAGTAGGCAGCTTTTTTTAAGAACTTAAGATGGGTGTTTTGTCTTGGGATCCTCCAGGTGAGCTGCAAAGATTAAAGTCCCCACAGTTTTGATTATATTGTCTATACATGTATCAAAGCAATTGAACTGCCTGGATCCAAGGGGGTACGCACCCTTTAGTAGTAGAGTTAGAAATGGCATAGAAACGATTTACTAGTAGAGTTAGAAATGGCATAGAAAAGACAAGCCCCGGTGCAAGATCCATCACATCGAGATCCAAAACCACCATGTGTATCAGTGGTTGCAGCTGATGTTTGTTGTTGCAGAGCACTCATATTAAAGGGTGCTTCGCAATTACAAAAAGCCCACTTCAACAATGGCTCAGATGTTTCCATGAACTCTTAAAACAGTTTAGAACTCAAGTAGCACTCAAAAAGAATATCCATGATTCATTTACTGTCTTGATAACAAATCTACTTATTAAATCCCACTTTTCTAATCTTATTAATGGTTTATTTTTCTACCTCTAGAGGCCTAAGGCAAGGAGACCTGCTCTCCCCATTTCTGTTTACTATCATGGGGGAGTTATTTCTAAATCTCTCAATAGGCCCTATGAACAGGGTATTCTCAAGGGATTCCAAACTTCCTCCAGTGGAACTGTCCTATCCCATCTCCTTTATGCTGATGACACCCTCATTTTCTACAATGTTGATCCTGCCAAGTTGAACAAACTGTGGTTGTTCACCACCAGGATGAAGGTCAAACATGTCTAAAGCCAAAATGTTGGGGGTCAGGGTGAGGGATGCTGAGACTACAGGCCTTGCCCAACATCTTGGTTGTGCTACTGTGCTTACTGATTCTCTTCCCTTCACCTATTTGGGCCTTACTCTCTGTCTAGGGAAACCCACGAAACACCTTTGGAACAACATTGAAAATTCACTTGGAAATTCGGTAATTGGAAGGGTAGATTCCTGTCCCTTGAGGGTAAAATCACCCTCACCAAAGCTACCTTGGAGAATATTCCTATTTAGCGGTTGTTCCCTTTCCAAATTCCTGCCTCTGTTGCACACCACTTGGAGAAACTCAAGAGGAATTTTCTTTGGTGTGGTGCCTCAGAGGACCATAAGTTTCATTTTGTCTCCTGGGACAAAATATGCATCCCTAAGAAGTAGAGTGGTCTTAGGTTCAAAAGGATCAGGACCAAGAACTGGGCCCTATTAGGTAAATGGTGGTGGAGATTCACTTACCCCCATCCCCTCCTTTGGAAGCATATTATCGAAGCCAAATATGGTCTCGAGGGTAACGAGTGGTTGCCTCGCTCTCCATGTCTCATGCCCCCCGGGGCTTGGAAGTCCATTGCATCAACTAAAACTGCTTTTAAAGCTTTCACTAGATTCAAGATATGGAATGGCCTTAAAATAAGATTTTGGAAAGATCTTCGGATTGGGGATCAGACCTTGGACCTTCTTTTCCCTTCCCTCTTTCTCCTAGCTACCGAGCAAGAAGCCCTCTTAGCTCATTGTTTGAATGCATTTTTCAGCACCTTGGTCCCTTATAGAAAGCAAGTTAATAAAGCCTACAAAACAGTGGAAATTTCGACAGTATCATAATTGCCCCAGAATTGGTCAAGATCTTCATTAGCACTTCAAAAGACCACCTGCCGAGTTTCATCGCAATCAGATATGTCTAAGGCAGTGAACACAAAAAAACAATTTCAGTAAAATCGGTCTTTAGTACCTTGAAATGGACCCTGTAACTAGAGTCATACTTTTGGTACGTCAAACAGTTGTGGGACCACCACCATTAGATCCGGCACGGTCGAAAACCCCTCTAGGTCAAGTTTTGGCTTAATCGAGCACTCCAAGACAAAATTATGGGTAAAATGCCAAAAAGGGGTAGGCCGCACACTATTCCCGTGTGGCCACCCTGCACTAAAACACCATTAAAGGCGGTTGTTTTTACAGTCACGGGCAGTCACTTTCGGGGCCTATATCTCACTCGTTCCAAGTCGGATCGCTCCCAAATTTGATGAGCGTGTTCGTCTCATCAAGATGAGCAATTCGATATGTGGTACGCCCCGCGACGACGCCCGAGCAGGGAAAAAAACAAGAGAAAAGTTGTTGATCCGTGAAGGAAGTTGCAGAAAATTCAGCAGTAGCACGCCTCGTTCGAGCAGCCAAATCATGATGCTCGCATACCAGATCGGCACGAAACCAATTGCATTATGTGCGTGAGGTCCGTGGCTATCTCTGGTCCGAACCCCGCGTATGATGAACGAGCACACAATTGATCCAAAGTTTTCAAGATTCATTCAAAATTCAAATCTCATGATCATAGCTCAAAAACATGATTCATGGCTCGAAGTTGGTATTAAAACGATCGTTATGCCGAGCCTTACAAGAAAACAATAATCTTTCGATCAAACAAGCATCAAAACAACCACGGGTCAGTCATGGAAGATCACGCAAGTTCGCGAGCAGCAGCAGGGACTGCTATGGAATTCCACACATTGTTAGGCAGGGGCAAAACAATCCTTTTGTACCCATTTTTAGAACTTCTTTTAATTCAATTAAATTGTAATTATCTTCAATTCTAGGTAGTTTTTAGGCATATACCCATGTTTTAGCCCAATTATATATAAACAAGAAATGCCTCATTGTACAAACGCGCTCGGATTCATTTTTCAATATTGAATAAAGATTTCAATTTTTGCTTGAGTTTGTGGGTACGTCTTGGAGAGAGAGAGAGAGAGAGAGAGAGAGAGAGAGAGAAGAAAAGGGCAGGTACCCTTCGAGAAGGTAACTTTCTCTCTCCTCCCCTCTTTCTCTCTCTTCTCTTCTCATCTTTATCTCTCTCTCTTCTCATCTTTATCTCTCTCTCTTCTCGTCTCTATCTCTCTCTTTCTTTCTCTTCTTCTCATCTCTATCTCTCTCCTCTCTCTTTTTCTCATCTCTATCTCTTTATCTCTCTTCTTTTCATCTTTATCTCTCTCTTTCTCTCTCTTCTTCTCGTCTTTATCACTCGTTTTTTCTCTTTTTCTCATCTCTATCTCTCTCTCTCTTCTTTCCATCTCTATCTATGTCTCTCTCTATTTCTATCTCCCTTTCTGCTCTCTGTCTAATAAATTCGATGAAGCCTAACACCGACTGGGTTTCTCTCTCTTTTTTGTCACAACCGACGTAAGCCTAGCATCGGTTGGGTTTCTCTCTCTTTCTTCTGTCTCAACCGGTGCAAGCTTAGCGCCGGCTAGGTTTCTCTTTCTTCTCTTTTGTCACAACCGCTGCAAGCCTAGCGGGCTGGGTTTCTCTCGCTTTCTTCTCTTTTGACACAGTCGATGAAGCCTAGCGCCGACTGCATCTCCTCTTTCTTCTCTGTCTAATACAGTCGGTGAAACTTAGCGCCGACTGGATCTTCTCTCTCTTCTTCTCTATGTAACAGAGTAGGTAAAGCTTAACATCGACTGCGCCCTGTTTAACAGAGTCAGCGAAGCTTAGCGCCGACTGCGTTTTCTCTCTCTTCCTTTTAACACAGTCGGCAATTCGTCAACGAAGCCTAGCGCCGACTGCGTTTTCTCTCTCTTCCTTTTAACACAATCGGCAATTCCTAACGTTGACTGCGTCTTTCTCCTTACTCTCTCCTTTATTCTCTCGTCTCTCACACTCTTCTCTTCCTTTCTTCCCCCTCCTTCCTTCTGTTCCTTTCTTCTCTTATTTCATTTCTTATTATTTCCTTATGACCTTCATTCTGTTATTCTTTTGTTCGATTAAGAGGGATCAAGGTTAGCCTCTCATGGTAGTTTTGTCGTCTAACCGTAATGTTGTGTCAAAATTATTGTGCCCGCTTTATTGTCATGACAGACTAACCATCGTGCTAGCTAGTCGGTATCGATAATGATGTCTAATAGTAATCATGTGAGCAGGTCTGAGTTACCGAGCCCGTTTTGCTACCACGTCAAGCCAGTTATTCATCAGCTTAGTCACTACGCTGATCTTCGCGCTCAGTCAAATTCTTCTCTCCCCCATTTTTCTTATCTAATTCTTCTCTTCTTCTTTTGAATACGCATGCTTGTGTATGTTCACCAAAGAGGAAAAGGTGAGGTCTAACCCACCTGTCTTATAACCTTTGCCATATGTGTGTGATTGCAGAAAACAGCAGAATACAAGCCAAGGGAGGCGATTTCGAACCAGTTTTATTATTGGGGGGCTTCCTTCGTGATCTAAGAGGGCGTCCAAGCGAGCCAGCCTGAATAAATCCTGAACCCACCTTAAATTCCTCTCTCACCCGTTGGTAATACCTACCCTCGTTCTCGAATGAGGTTCCCGAAAGAGTGATCTCAAAAACGTCCCCGGTCTTCTCTCGAAACCCGAGACACGTGCCGCTTGATCCTCAAAAGATCCGGAGGGCAAGATGGAGGCACCTAACCACTCATTGCTTGGAACGAAGGGGCTCTTCTTTGTCTTGGACCCCGATCTTCAAAAGGAACCTTCTTGACTCTGAATTGCCTACCTTTAACTACCTTCTCCAATTGTTGACCCTTATATTCTCTCTTCTCTCAAGAGAAGGCTCTCTTATTTGGTCCCCCAACCCTCTCTTCTCTCAAGAGAAGACTCTCTTATTTGGTCCCCCAACCCCTCGGGCATCTTCCAACCCCTCATTCCATCTTTGTTTCCTCTTTTTATTGTTCTCTCCTCCTAATTTGAACCATCCCCCCCTTAATAAAATTTGGTCCTTTCCCGTTCCCCATAAGGTCCAAGCCTTTCTTGGGTCCTTCTTCAGGGCAGAACTAACTTTGGACCAACTCCAGAAGAGAGGTATCTCCCTTCCTAACCGATGTATTATGTGTCTTCAAGCCTTTCTCCTCTACCCTTTAGTTCACCCTTTTACAACTTTTTGGCCTTCATTGGGTCACACCTCAATTCTTACCCGATCTCTTCTTGGCCTTTGCCTCCCCTCCTTTCCCCTCTATCCCCTCCTTTCCCCACTATTGGTAGAAAGTTGTGGCGCACAATTGTTGCAGCCCTTTATGGTCGATCTGGGTAGAAAGAAACACAAAAACTTTTCGCATCAAAACTTTTCGTGACAATACCAGTCCCCTTCCATCTACCTCAAATTCACTCACCTCTCAAATCTCCTTTGGAGCTAGTAGCATTCCCGCATTCTCTCACTTCTCGCTTTCGCCACTTAGAGGTAGCTGGCAAAGTTTGCTGGCACTACATTCCCTTTCACCCACTGTCCAAGCCTTATGGCATTCTCCCCCAATGGAGGTCCTCAAACTTAACACAAATGATGTGTCTTTTGGTAACCCTGGACCTTCAGGGTATGGGGGTAGTAACCCTAGCCAACTCCAATGGAATTTCCTCTCTTTCTCGAGGCCTCTTGGAATTTTAGATTCCACCATTTCTAATGCTCTGGCTCTGCTGGAAGGACTTAAGAATTTCACACACAATTCTCCGGTATTCAGGTGGAGTTTGACTCAAGTACGCCATCAGATGGGCTTCTAGCATCATACAGCTCCCTTGGCGGCTAATGTCCACCTTTGAACTTATTGATCTCATATGCAGTGACCTGCCTCCTGTGACCTTTACACACACCCTTAGGGGTCAACTCAGTAGCTGATGCCTTGACATGGAAGAGCTCGTAACACCTTCCCTACTCTTTCTTCTCACAACAAGTAGGCGAAAATTCCTTGCCCCTCTCTTTGCAACCTTCTTCCCCTCTTCTCTCCTTTTCTCTATGCTTCCTTTCTCTTTGTTCACCCTCCCCTGTCTTAGATAGTCCCAAAAAAAATCAACAGAGAAAAGACAGAAAAAAAACAAAAAATGAGAGAAGAAAAATTGGAATATGAAAAAATAGAAAAAATAAAAATAAAGAAAGCGAAAATATATTATATGCTGAATAGACTTTCTCTCTCTCCCTCCTCCCTTCTCTTCTATCTCAGGTCTTTTGGCTCCATCCCTCCACTCTTTCTTTTCTCTGGTCTCAATGCTTTACTCTTTCTCCCTTCTATCATTCTATCTGCTCTACACCTTCCGCCCTTTTCACTATCTGTCATCTCTCTGCTCTACCCCATCTCTTCTATTTCATTCTCTCTAGTTTCTCTAATCTACCCCTTCTCCCATCCTCCTATACTCTCTCAGCTTTATCCTCACCTGTTGTTTCTCTCATTCCTAGTTAGAGCCCTACCTTGGGGCTCGATTTTCCCCCTTTTTTGTTCTCCTCTTATACTTTCACTGGCTTACCCCTTCCTCTTTTCCCCTCTGTATTCTTTTCTTCCTGCAGTTTGCCTCCAAGGGAAGTCTTCTTACACAGGAAGGCTAGAAGAGGTTCTCAGCCTCATCCTGTCGTCCTTTATGGCCACGGAAGCTCGCTTTCCCATAGATCTCGCAACTGGGCATCTTCAACCTCTTGAAGTTCAGTGATGGACTCTGTTGTCTACTTTTGTCATCTCTGGGCTCATTTTCTCTTCTCTGGACTCTCTCCACTTCTCTTTTCTGTAGGCCTTCTCCTCTATCGCTTCTTTTTTGCTGATCTTCGCTCCTTTTTTTGGCACTTTTCTTATTTGTAGCCTTTTTATCTTTCTGTTATTTTCTTATTGAGTTTCTTTCTTATACTTCTTCTCCTCCCCCTTGTAACACCTGTTTTGTTGGCTGCAATTTTTACCACTCCTTATGGTTTTGTAATCTTTTGTTTTTTTTTTTTTTAACAAAGTTAACTAGTTTCAAAAAACAAATGGACTCATGGATGAAGAATTTGAACATATTTGTTGTTAAGAGACATACAATCAAGCCTATAGGGTACATAAATGCCCTTCACAGGATCAAACAAGTGTTTATGGCATGGCTTGGCATGGTCAAATCATGAATATTTTAATTAATAAACAGTCTCCACTAAAGAATGATGGAGCCTGGTTGATAATCAAAGTCCCAGGTATGTCTGATCTTCTCATCATATCTTTATATGTGAATGACTGGATTTATAAGAAGCAACAAAGAAACCAAGTATGAGTTTAAAAAGGACATGAAGAATGTTGATAAAGTGAAAGATCTTGAATTAATACTTCACTCCTCCAATTGCAAGTGTAAACATTGGTGATTGAAGACGGAGGCAAAAAAAATCAGTGCCTGAATTCATCTAGCACTAGTATTTTTGCTACAAGGCCAGAAAACAGTTTGCAGCAAATTTCGTTTCCAAAATTATGTGCAAAATCCAAGTCAAACCCATTTTTGGGTTGCAAAAGATTATTACTTTGTCTAAAAGGAATAATGACCATGGAACATGGTACAAGCTCACCACATTTTCTTTGACAAATACCAAATCAATTTATTAAAAAATAGGAACTACAAGAGAACTAAGAGTTTAAGGTGGCAGTTACCCACAAATTCCAAACTATTTCAAACGATTGAAAATGAACTAAAAGCAACTCACTGCTTACAAAAATGTATAGGATGCAGTTAAGGTTCGGATCAGTTTGTAACGCGTGAGTATGTGTTTTTGCAAGAGAGAAGATCACCAAGGGTGGTGCTTATACCATAAGAGCACTCCACAGTCAGTGAATTCCATTCCTTGTGCAAATAATTATCTTATAAGCATTCAAGCGAGATGCACGATCAATCTCCCCTGTGCCAAATAGCTTCAGAAAGTTGCCCCAATGCAGATAATTCTCTGTCTACAAGGATGAATATTAACCTAGAAAACTATTCAAATTCCTCTATATGGAAAATCCAATCTATTCCCCTCTCTCTCCCTCTGTCACTAAACAGACACCACTAGAAAAACAAACTCTTTTCTTGTAAAAGGGCAGTTCCAGTACCCTATATTACCTTATTGAATTCCTAAGAGCCAGCATAAATAGCACCCTGCAAAGTTCAGACTCTATAAAGAGAATGCCCAACCCAATTCGAAATGAGAATTCAGCAAGCCAAAAACTAGGGCCTATGAGCAAAGTAAACGAAAGATGTATAGTAATTATCAAAAAAGAAGGGAAAAAACAAAAAAAGGAGGCACAAAGAGTAGTAGAGCAGGACCTCAAGACACCCCATGAGTTTTCAGAGGCAAGCCAGCGAGCAGTAGCAGCCGCGTCGGCAGGGTCAGGCTTTTGACGAAGAGGAACAGAGAGTGCGATGATGTGATAATCAAACGAGATGAGAACAAGAAGAAGAAGGTAGCAGGCGTTGAGGGGAGACGACGCCATGGCTCAGCTATAAGAGAACTGCATTCCTTTAATTAGGAGGAGGCACTGCACCTTTTATAAATACAATAGATGAGATGATGATGAGGACACCATGAAAACAACTGCGAGTGAGTTTTTAGGGAGTTCCTCTCGCTCACAAACACACCATTTACGTCTCTATCTCTGAGTTCCTTGCCCGCGTCGTGCTTTGCTATCTTTCCAGCGAGAACCTCTCAATTTCCACGAAAGGCACATGTGGTTACAAAGCCTTTTTGTCTGGCGCCTTTTAACTTGCATCGGTTCGGATTGAACAACTTTATACAAAGAGTAAAAATATTTTTTATTTTTAATTTAAAAATATTATTAACTTGAAATTATTGATCAAAATAAATAAAAAATTATCATAAATATATTTTAATTTTTTTTATTTTAAAAAATAAATAAATAATTTTCGTAAACTTCGTCCACACCTTTTCTTTTCTTTTTCAATTTGATCATTTTGTTCATCTATTTAGCAGGAAAAAAAACCACATTTTTCTTCAATTTTATGGTACCGTAGAACCTAAGCCATTTTTTCTTTAATTTAACGGTACTGTAAAACTTTATATGGCATTTTAACTATCATATGGATATGCATTAGATAAATATAAATATGGATATCTATCTGTAGAGATATATATTTATCTACACTAAATAAATACCATCAGATATGGATAGATACCACCTAAATATGGTAGGCATCTATCTGTAGAGATCTATACTGAGAAGGTTATTGGTATTCATAATCAATGGCTATAGAGATATATATTGAAAAGGTTATTAGTGTTCATAATCAATGGCTAGATACCACCTATGCAAGGCATCTATATGTAGAGATATATATTGATAAGATTATCGGTGTTCATAATCAATGGATAGATACCACCTATGCTAGTAATCAATATGTAGAGATATATATTGATAGGGTTCTTGGTGTTCATGTCTCTTGATTATGATAAGTTTTGATATTTATATAATATATTTATCCGCAAGTAAGGATAAATACCATCAGTTGTGTACCACCTGCTAGTTATTTTATACAGTAGTTAAAATGCCGCATAATATGTTTTACGGTATTTAAAGTACCATAATTTAAAATGATATATAATATGGCTTGGGTTTTATGGTATTTAAAGTATCATAATATTAATTCAAGTTATTATGGTAATACGAGCATCGTCAATGTTATTTTAGTCAAAAAACATTATCAAAATTGAAGAAAAATGGTGTCGACGAGATTCATGAAAGTTGAAGTTTTTTTTTTAAATAAACAAAAATTAAGGTATATTTGTGAAAGAACGACCAAAATTGAAGAAAAATTGTGTGGACGAGGTTTATGAAAGTTGGTTTTTTCTAAATAAACGAAAATTAAGATATATTTGTGATAATTTTCCAAAATAAATTTAGAGGTATTTTAATTATTTAATATATTTTTAATTATTTTTATTTAGTCCAATTGATTAAAAAAAAAAAGCTTAAACTATGAAATTCAGATAAATATTTATTTATATAAAAAGAAAAAAATAATATATTAACTCAATTATATATACACAATGTAAAGAGGCGTAGACGCTACCTATTCCGCCGCTCATCTAACCGACACAAGCGCGAATGGCGTGGGGCTCCAATTCCGCAACCCGAGCGGACAAGAGTTGATGCATAGGTCAGCCTCTACCTCAAAGCACGCTTTAAAAAAACTTTGAACTGGCTGATTCTGGTCAGGGCTGGCTTGTGTTTTGCAAAGTATTGGGAACAGACTTGTTCCTATTTTAAACCAACTGATTTTGGCCGATTTTTTGACAGAACTGTTTTTGTGGGAGAATTGGTTCTATAATTTATTTTTTAATTTTATTTATTTATTTATTTTAATTAATTCATTTGGTTAGATCGCCAATCCAAATTACCAATGCACCCAACTGGACCAATTTCCAGATAATCTGTTTTCTTAAACCTAGCCTCAAATCATGAATAGAGGCACCACATGCATAATTGGAACAATATCCACCGTGCCCAAGCTAAAAAAATGGGGTTTATTGTTTTGAGAGTATGGCATTAATCTTGAGTAGCTAATGCAAGATGGGAAAGGTGTCTATACTTCCCAACAGCATAGAAGATATATGCTTTCCCTACCATCCAACCATCTAATTTTGATCAAGAGAACCATTCACCGTTCGATCTTCGATCCAACGTCTTAAAGTATTTTATTTTTAGTTTTTTTATACAAATTGTATGAATATGAAATTTGGTACCTACCATCTTCTCATTGAGGTGCACCTTTAAAAATATTAAAAATAAATTTTTTGATAAAATATAATGGCCAAAATACCCCTTAAAACTTTCAGAGGTATTTTGGTCATTTTATTTTATTGGAATTACTTTTTTTATATTTTTCGCTAGTGCGAGTTTAATAGAGGATTGGACATCCCAAATTTGGTCTTAAAATAGTTTATAAATAAAAAATAAAAAATTTGGTGTCAAAATAGTTTACAGAAAAAAAATTAAAAATAAAAGTGTAGAGACGTGACATTGTGATTGGGGCAATCTTAGCCCTCCATTCAAAATGGACGGTTGGATAAGGGGAAGTATATAAGTTTTATGCTGTAGGGGAAGCATAGAAAGCTTCCCCAAGATTACCTAATGTAGTGCGCACTTTTCAATCCAACCCAAAGATGCAGTTTTACTTTCAACCGTTTGAAAATTTATTTCCATTTTTTATTATCAAAATTCAAAACATGGCATAAATCCAATAGACCTATAAGCAAATTAAATTATTAAAAATAGATGGTCTAGATAATGCATTGTAAGATGTTTTATTTTTAGCACTTAAAATCTTTGTTTTTATACCCAATAAGGGGAAATCAAAATATCCAATGTTTATATGATCAATTTCCAAGATTTTTCATTATCAAAACAACCTTTTTAATGTATTTCTTTTGGTGCATCTTAATGTTTATAGTAGTGTTCACAAAATCGAACTAGAACGCTTAATTGGACATGGGCCTGGAATGGTTTAACCAGCCTAACCAATAAACTGGACAATTCAACCGCTCTAACTAGACAAGTCCCGGGAGGTCAAAAAAATATAGTAAAATATGACACGCATATAAAGAATGATTAAAACAAAACACTTTCAAATGAAGTTGAAAATTAATGAAAAAAATGGATTTTAACCCATTTTATATTTTCTAAGGGCTATTGTTTAAAAAAGATGGGAAAATATAAGAGTGAGTATTAATGACCAAAACAATTTTTAATCTTTGCAATAATGTAAAGAATATTTAAAAATGCATTATAAATCAAATTCCTTATTTTTGAGAATTTATATTTTTTTTTTTGAAAAAAAATTTAAATACTGGTTGATCACCTAACCGCTCGAAACCAGAACTAGCAACTGGTCAATTTCGATTTAACCGGATGGTTAGATCTCCCGATTTTGTGAACAATGGTTTATAGTACAAACTTGGCATCAGTATAAACTTTTTGTTTTTATTATTATTCTTATTAGCAATTCCTCGCCATTAGTAGCATTATGGGATAAACAAAATGGCGAAGTGATTTTACGACATAGTTACTGGGAAGTGATTTCATGTCATGAGTACAATATAATATAATAAAATATCTCTTTAAGAGAGGGAAAGCTTACTGTGTGACCCCACTTCTCAACCGTTTGATCTGGATCGATGATGAGGATTGTTCATGTCACAATGTCACACCAAAACATTGTTTAATTTTAATTTTAATTTTTTCTACAAAACATTTTCGGCTGAAATTTGGGGCGCCCCATCTCCTTCTTAGGAGCACCTAAAAAAAAAATCATGAAAATAAATAGCCCTCAAGTTTAAGGGTATTCTACTAATTTTTCATCAAAGGAAATATTTATTGTCATTTTTATCTTGTGCACCTGTCAGATGTATGCATGCCCCAAATTTTGTTGCGATTTATAAAATGGATGAGGTTTGTATAAGATGTCAACCTTAAACAATCACGGTAAAGTGCACCTCAAAATCTCATTAAAATATATATTTTCGGTGCAAAAACTCTCATCATGGCTTAAGAGTCTATTTTTCACCTCTATTATGAAATTAAAAATTCCAAAAATGGTCCAGATCTAGCAGATCTATGAACAATTAAAAATCTTAAAAATTGACGGTCTAGATAATATGTTACAAGATGTACTATTTCTAAGACTTGAAATTTATTTTTTCTTTCATATCCATACATATCAAGGTCAGGATGATCAATTGGAGAATTTTCTAGTAATAAAACAACATTCTTTGATGGGTTTTTAATGTGTATCTTACTTCTACAGTATAAGGTTGACACCTTATATAAATTTGTTCCTTATAAAATAAAGATTAAAAATAAACACTCTAAACCATCAAATTAGATATGATGCTGAAGAACCAGCTTGTGAAATTGTGACTCAAGCCATCTTAGCCATCTACTCAGATTTGATAGCTAAGATAACGACTCACATATACTATACATGTGGATGGGGTCACATGGAAAGTATTCCTTTTTAACATTATGTTGGCATTTGTTGATCCTGAATTTTGAACTCGCAATCTCTTCATCCCAACAATCAATGCCAATAAAAAAATTGAATTTTCACCTTATAAAAGGTCAAAGTATGTTACTCTCATCTCTTTAGTTGAACATTGAGATCTAGGCCTCTAAAAACTCAAAATCAATTTTTTATATATAATTGTTCACGTCTATTTTTTATAAGATTATCTAACAAAAAAAAAAAAAATAGGTTAAAAGGAAAATCCCTATAAGGCATGGATATACTCATCCATCAAATGGACGCCCTATTTTCATTGGTCGTAAAAAAGCAGTTTTGATGGTACATTTTAAACTTTTATTTTTAATTATTTATTTTAGTAAATTGAGTGTATGTTAAAAAAATTAGGGTCAAATAAATGCTCCTAGCATGATTTTTAAAGACGTGTTTTATTATATTCTTGTCAGACAAATGTGCGAAATCACTCCCCAATAAAATTTCATACCTATAATTACACTTGTGGATACATATTCCAAATTAACTATGAAAATATGTTATGTGCAGGCTAAAGCATTTGAGCCTTGAAAGAGATAAAAAGATACCATGAAATTTGTTTATTTATTTATTTTAGTGTCTGCATACTATGATATTTGTAAAGTACCTTTTCGTTTTCCTTGTTACCAAGGTTTAAAAAACCGGATGGGGTGGTTGAAAATGTGATCCCATGAGA